TGCTATTCCTTCTCCTTTCATGATTGGATGCTGGAACCTGTCCTATGTCTTAAAGATAAAAGAGGTACACATTAAGTTTTACCTCCATGAAATGCAGATTGTTGTTATAGTCACTTAGTGGTTGTTTAACTATGGCTGCCTTTTTGCTGGTATATGTCCCTAGTCTTTTGTTAGCTGGGATTTATCCTGGTATTTTGTTTTCCTGCAAGGTCTGATGATTTTGCCATTGAGCAGTCAGTTGACTTTGGCTAATTCTTTTGTTGGTACATAGTGGTCAATTCTATGCTAGCTGAAGTCAGTGGATGCTCAGTGATAATCTATTTTGTAACACGGGTAGGAGTACCCCTTGTACTCCATTAATTAAATTTTTTTTAATGTGCAAAAAAAAATATATATATAAAACTTAAACCTACTCAATTAAAACTTGAAAGATACCGACCTTCAAATTACTACAACACAAGTTGCACTTTATTATTGTAAATAAACATTCCATATGGTCTTAAAAACTATGTATCTTCATATAGTCTACAACTTTATTCCATCACTTCCATAAGTTTCTGCAGAGTTACGAAATTTTGCAGCCTTACTTCGGATCACCACCTATTTAAAAGATCCATTGAATCCCAAACGGTTGCTTAAAATAAGACAACATTAACTGACTACTGATGGAGGAGCATCGGGTTGCTTCTCTGGCATCGCATCTTGAAACGGCGGCAGCTCAACGTATGCATCATTCAACCGAGACAAGAGAGGGAACTGAACCTGCAAAAAGATGGTAGAAGAAAGGAGATTTTGACGGTGTCCATAATGAAAGGCAACAAAATGTAAAACCCTAAAGTCAGACTTCCTCATCCTTACCAGAATCAATGGAAAACTAGATGGGAGTAGTAGAGTAGTGAATAGTAACACTACAAAACTAATAATGGGGCCAAATATTCTACAAGTGCACTAGTGTGTCCTAAAAGGATGAAGAAACAGCACACAGGATCAAAGAGGAAGAGAAAAACCAACGAAGGGTGCATTGGAGAGGATGGTGGGTTACGGAAAATCAAGTTTTCGGATGGTTTTTGGTTGATTTTAAGTGGGGAACCAGTTAGGGCTGGGTGAGAGATTACGGTGAAAAGGGAAAGGCGGTGTTTTATTTTTTTAAAATCATTTGATTTTCAAACAAAAGATAGACAAGGAGGAATGTCGAAAAAACGAAAAAAAGAAAAGAAAAAGTAGGGTGTCCGGCTACTTTTTCTTCCTTTAGATTAATTTTCATAAGATACCCAAGTTTTTTTTTTTTTTTTTTAAATCATTTGATTTTCAAACAAAAGATAGAGAAGAAGGAATGTCGAAAAAAAGAAAAAAAGAAAAGAAAAAGTAGGGTGTCCGGCTACTTTTTCTTCCTTTAGATTAATTTTCATAAGATACCCAAGTTTTTTTTTTTTTTTTAACAAAGTTGCAATTTTTGGAGAGTAGAAAATCGAATCTCAGCCTTTGAGTTAGGGGATACACGTTACTTATGACTATTGAATCTCACAGTTCAGATGCCATAAGATACCTAAATTATTTTAATAATTAATTGTAAATTACTGTAGATCAAGAGTGTATTACATATTTTTATATTTTTAAATTAATATTTATATTATCATCTAATTATGAAAAAGAGTGGCATCAATCCCTCTATAGTTATTAATATAATATATTTTTTTAGTATTTATATTATCCTCCAATTATGAAAAAGAGTGGCATCAATTCTTCTATAGTTTTTAATATAATATTTTTTTTCATATTATAACAGTATTATTTTTTTGACCAAGTTTACAAGGGTGGGTTTCGAACCCACCATTGGGGAGAGGGAAAGTGCACCTGCAAAGGCAAGCCCGAAGGGCCTGGTGCATATTATAACAGTATTATTTATTTTATAAATTATGAAAATAAAGTATGTAAATATTACATCAAATAAAAGTGAAAAACAAATTAATACCAATTTAATTTTATTTTTATTTTTATATTTTATTAAAAAATAATTGAATTTTTTAATTAAAAAAGCACCTGCAAAGGCAAGCCCGAAGGGCCTGGTGCATATTATAACAGTATTATTTATTTTATAAATTATGAAAATAAAGTATGTAAATATTACATC